GTTCTTTTCAACTTTTTCGTGAGCAAACCACTGTTAGCATGGAGAGGTTGTTGTTGGAAATGGACTTCTTCTCTTGAGTACATCAATAAAATGCCATATATTAGGATGCACCTTATCGACACGACGATTGAATTCCTCGTCGTAAATACGGCCAACTGATGTAACTTCGGTAATTACATGTTGTTTCAAATTAGATTTAAAGTTAAGAATTTCAATGTGCTCTGGCGAAGATAGATGAATTGAGTGATTACCTTTCCGTAACTTGAATTGGTCTTTGATATCAGCATGAATAATAGCAACGCAGAGACGGTTTTCACACCTTCAGTACACTGAAAAAAAATCCGTAGAATAAAAAACGAAAAAAGGGTTTATGAAAGTGCAACGTATAGCAAACCCTTCGAAAGGGTTTATTAAGGTGTCATAAACCCTTTCATAAGCCATAAAAAAGGGATGAATATGGGGCTTATGAATCGCAAAAACTCACTCTAAAGGGTTGATGAAATAGTTGATGAAGTTCATGAACCTTTAAAGGGTTTGCTATACGTTGCACTTTCATAAACCCTTTGAAAGGGTCGATGAGTATGATAAACCTTCTCGTAAGACCATCAAAAACCAGCTGAAAAAGGGTTGATGAAAATACAATACCCAAGGTTCGAGCTCATAAAATTTACTTGGAAGCGTTTATGAATAATCATGAATGGTCGAAAAGGTTCGTGAAAAGGTATATGAGTGGGTTGATGAACCTCTTCAACTGACCCAAGGGTTTATCAAAAGGTATATGGTATGGTTGATGGATCCTTTCAACCGACCCAAAGGTTTGTGAAAAGGTATATGTATGGGTTGATGGATCTCTTCAACTGACCTAAGGGTTTGTGAAAAGGTATGTGAGTAGATTGATAGACTTCTTCAACTGACCTAAAGGTTTGCGAAAACGTACATGAGTGGAATGATGAACCACTTGAATTGACCCAAGGGTTTATGAGAAGATATATGCGAGGGATGATGGACGTCAATTGTAGCTATTAATCTGTGAAGTAATGTATGTAGAGTAACTCAAGAGTTGCTTTCAGAGCTCGATGGATGACTGAATAGAGAGGATTCTTTTCGTCATTAATGATGAACACGGGCGATCATGAACGAGAGAATATGGGACTTATCGAAGTTTGAAAGGAATGCTTGTTTGTTATTACCTAAACATTTGAAGATTGTAACTCATCGTGTCCTAATTAGGAAATCTGAGAAATCGAATCTAAACTCAGGTAGAAAGAAGTGAAGCTAGAAAAACGGAAGATGGCTGTATCCATATCTCAAAATTTAGCAAGTCAAAGGAAAATAAAGAATTTATATTGGATTAAACGAAATTTTTTGATTGAACTACTTGGATTAGATACGTCATACATATAATAATTAGATCGCAAGAAAATTGAGCAACTTGGAAAAAGAACTGTAATTAGTTGCTTGGAACAAATTTATCCAAGAGCTTCCAAATCCATCTATCTCATGAAGAAATCTCGGAGAATTTCATCAGGAATTCATTGGGACTGCCTGCAGGATCTTCTGTAAGTGTAAAAGATGTTCATGACGATTTCATGAGATATTCTACTTCTTTATGAGCCTAATGAAAATTCGGAAGACCTCGTAAAATGCTACAATAAAATTATCGTATGGTTTTTCCGTAATGTTATAATGCTCATCTAAACTTTTAAAAAATCTTGACCTCTTGGTAGTATCAAAATAGCACTCTGCACAGTCATAACTACTCGAAGATCCTGTCGATGATCTATTTATCATTATCGTCTATGAAATTGTACAAAACCTTCACTCACTTGAAGTGATATTCTTGGTTGACCATACTATTGAGTTCGGTGAAAGAGAATGAGCAGATTTCATTTAAAAGACGATTTTTATGCTTTGAAGACATTGTCTACCAAAATCTAAACGAAAAATCAGTAATTAATTAGGAGATTAGTACTTTCTGATTGAAGACATTACTAGCAATGCTAATGTAATACTTGCTTTTACATCGAAAAATTATCATTAGTCCAATTTATTGAAAGTGCTGCTTGACATGAATCAATCTTCACATGAAAAAAATACAATTAAAATTAAAAAAAACTAAAGAGTACACTCATCTGTATGCATCAGGGCTTCCTTTGATAATCATAGCCACATTCATTCATAGAAGAAGTTGAAAAGCCGCATGCGAATAAAGAAAATATTAGAGTTAGTAAATAGTAATCAATATGATTTTCATAAAAGATTCTTCAATATCGTTCAAATCAAGCGTCCTGTTTGAGTAAATANTGGATTCATTCTCAAAAAGGTAGATCGAATAGCATCAATATTGATTTTGAATTTAAAAATAATGCTATCTCATATGCCACCTGACTACTTACCGGCCGCACGGTATCCTGAATCGTTATTTGGTCTGAAGAGCTGAAGTGCTCGATATGGCGGTATAGTGTATTTGATAGAGCACAAATTGTTCTACAATCCTGATAGTATAGAGTTCTCAGTGTTTTTGATCCGGCTAAAATATGAAGTAATCTTTGTTAAGCACAGCGTTTTCTGAAGTGCATGCTTAATATTGACCAAAGCGGAAACCTGTACGATTCATGAATGAATGCTGCCAGTTTCCATGAAAATTACCAGATTTCTAGAACAAGTTGTGTTCTATCAAATACACTATGCCACCATATCGAGCACTTCAGCTCTTCAGATCAAATAACGATTCAGGATACTGTGCGGCCGGTAAGTAGTCAGGTGGCATATGAGATAGCATTATTTTTAAATTCAAAATCAATATTGATGCTATTCGATCTACCTTTTTGAGAATGAATCCAAGTGTGCCTTTGGATTTTAATGTTAACCTTGTTTTAATGCAGTAAACTATCGAAAACCGTTCGTCAAAATTATGCTAAAAACTGGCTTTTCTGATTTTCTGCTTAAAGTATTTTCAGTCTATCTTCTTGAAACTAAAAGATTTTTAAAAAGATTTTTTACGAGAATACTTAGAATGAAAAACTTTACAAACGCTGAAAATTTCATCGAATTCGGTGGTCATTTTCATATGCATGCCTAAACCTCAAGGGATATGCCACATGAAAAGTGAACTCTTTTTATCCTACTCTATTTCAAGAAACTCAAAGTAGCGGGATGAACTAAATATATTATCTAATAGATTAGGACTAGTACTTCACCACACTATTATCCAATATGCTCGCAAATTCTGGTTGCGTGAGAAATGTTGACCACAATATGGGAATTTTTCACTATACGTGAATATAGGGTAGCAGTTCGTATTACTTATTTACCAATAGGAACCCATTGAATCTGTGGTTATTATATTCTTAAATAGACAGTAGATATATGTATTTAACACGACTCGATTTGATGGCTAATTATCATATTATGATAGAGAACGGTATACGCCAAAATTGGATAGTTTAGAAGGTTTTGCATTTTTTGCGTAATGTCGTATCGGATGAATCCGTATATCAGTGGTATGAATGAGCTAATATAGTTATGTACCGCATCTACTAACTTAGTACTATATATATATAAATTTTCAATTATGGTTTATAGTTACAAAAAAATCGATACCACAAAATAATGAAAAATCATAGATATCGTCCTTACAGGTCAAAAGGTGATATTTTGTGATCTCAAAGAAACTATGATGCCGATTGAAAGTTCGTAGGATTTTTTCACCAAAGGTGTTAGGGTGTTGAGGTCTTCAATTGCTGAAAGTTTCAGCTTTACTGCTGAAGATCACCGTAAATGTGGGAGATTCTCGATGGAACTACCCAATAACAATTTTTTATAAGGTTTAACCGAAGTTAATTGGGGTCGAGAAATCTGAATCTTCAATGATTTTGGTTTCCTGGTGTTAAGTTTTGTTTTGCTCTTGGAGTTCGATTCAACAATATGTTGACCTTTCTATGTTTATTAAGAAATAAAAATGTCCGCGCATCAATAATCATGCCCGCACCTATATAATATCAGTTGAAGAAAAGAAAAAGGAGAAGAAAGACCACGACCAATAATAACACGAAAGAAAAGATAGAGAAAGATGTCGTTCCTAACACCCTTTCCCTTACAAAAAAGTTTTTTGTTTAGAAAATACTTTTAGGTTTTTATATATAGATGTGAACGAGAAAAAAGGAAAACTTCAAAAGAAGAAAGAGAAGAGAAAATCTAATATAACTATATCAGTTAGTGGAAGAACAAGTTCAAAATATCACATAGAAAAAAAACATGAGAGGAGATATCACGATGAAAGAGAAGATACAAAAAAACTGTAATAACGATATATATAAAAAAATAATAAAATAACAACAATGTGTTTTTTTGTTGTTGACCATTTGTTCTGTTGTTGTTATTCACGATGATATCGATGATGTTGTCAATGATATGGTTGATGATGTTGATAAATTTGATAATTTTTTCGATCAAACAAATCTTCTTGTAATTGTTTTTGGTATTTCTGTTTGATCAGGTCGTTTTTTACACCAATAACTAATATTCCATCAAATTCCTTGATATGTACATATTTGATGTTATGTTGCTGAAGAATTTTCTTCACTAGTGGGGTAGTAAATTTATGATACATAGGACGAGTAACATAATGTTGGTAACGACGCATTCGATGTGTATTATTTTGTTTTCGGTTTCTTCGTTGTTTTGATGTTTTTGATCGTTGTTGATGAGTAAGTCTATGTTTTTTGTCTGTTGGTTTTTTTCAACATCATCAGTTGGTTTATTATCATCTTTATCATTAATAATAAATTCATTATCTTCATCAATAATTAATTTGACATCATTGACCAACGATTTATCATTCATTTCTTGTCCATCCTTTGAAATTTCTTCATATTCAGGTTGTTCAGTTGTCACCGGTTCGATAAGCTGATTGAGATAAATTTCATCATTATCTGATATTGGTTCTGCTTCATCATCATTGAAGCTGAATAATTTTTGTACATTAATATTTTTTTTAATTATTTTATTTTTTTATTTGATGAATTAATTGTTGGAAGTGGTAATGATTTAAATGATGTAAATAATTCAACAATATTTGTATCTTTTAATTGGTTGAATGTCCACTTTTCTAAAACTGGTCGAATAAGATACGTTGTTGAAAAACAATCGTAAATAGCATAATTAATCATTTTTTTTCTTCGACCAAACGATAATGTTGAATTATTGGATGTTAAACCTGCAGCCCAATTATTAACCGTACTTGATTTGTCAATGAACATGTGTGCTGCATAAATTAAGGCCTTCTGAAGAGTCCATTTTTCATTTGGACGGTATGAACTTTGTTCATGACAAACACATTTGAATGACGAATAATTTTGTGTAGTAATATTATCATAATTGACGCCACCATGTTGACGATGATGATTCGGGTGACATGACTCACAATGAGCCAGTGCCCACTCATACCAATCCAGAAAATCTGGTTGTATATCAATCATTTATGCTAATATTGACCAATTAAATAAATGATAATCTTTTGCTGGATCAAGTTCCTTGTCCATATTACCCCAAGAATATAATTCATTTCCAGATCTAAATACTAATGAAAAAAATTCTTTAATTTTTACATACGTAGGTGGATTATCAAATGAAAGATGTTGTAATTCAATTAATATTAATAATGATGGTAATTGAGATGGTATAGTTTGTATTTGGATTAAAGCTAATTGACCATTTGATTTGATATCCAACTGAGCCATACGATCACAAGTTTTTGGTTCTTCAGCTAATTCTGATATTGATTGAAGTGTTGGCATAGGTATTAATGAAGTTTGTTGAGATAATAAATCAATTTTTGATTGTTGACAAACAGAATGAGAATTACTATGTGTGCGGGAAGGAGAACAATATAATAAATCAGAAATAGGATATTCTTATAAATTCAAATGTGAACGAGTGTTATTGTTCATCAAGAACACATTCCCAAAAGCAGGGAAGTTCTCTTAATTAACTAAACATTCATTGACAGAGACAATCCTTAAGAAAGGATGTTTCCAAAATTATTTCAAGTAGATGTAAAATCACGGGACCAATTTCTTAATAATAAGAAAGACACCGCTGTCACCACTTGTTAAGTTTTGTTTTGCCCTTGGAGTTCGATTCAACAATATGTTGACCTTTCTATGTTTATTAAGAAATAAAAATGTCCGCGCATCAATAGTCATGCCCGCACCTATATAATATCAGTTGAAGAAAAGAAAAAGGAGAAGAAAGACCACGAACAATAATAACACGAAAGAAAAGATAGAGAAAGATGTCGTTCCTAACACCTGGTCAAATAAACTTGTGCCGTCTACCAATGATCGAACTTCATAAAAAATCATTATTTTCTTAAAAAAAGACTCTTCTTTAGAGAAAAGATTAGGGATATAGCAGTACGAATACCATTCAATACAAATAGCTGAATACTGCATTGGAATTGTCACATGCCTACTGCTAATTGATGCCGATTGCGACCAATTCCGGCCAATTTCATATCAACTTCAACTAATTCCAAGTCTGGAATTGGAATTGAAATTGCACTGAAAAAAATCTGTAGAATAAAAAACGAAAAAAGGGTTTATGAAAGTGCAACGTATAGCAAACCTTTTGAAAGGGTTATTAAGATGTCATAAACCCTTTGATAAAGCATAAAAAAAGGGATGAATATGGGGTTTATGAATTGCAAAAACTCACTCTAAAGAGTTGATGAAGTTCATGAACCTTTAAAGGGTTTGCTATACGTTGCAGTTTCATAAACCCTTTGAAATGGTCGATGAGTATGATAAACCTTCTCGTAAGACCATTAAAAACCCGCTGAAAAGGATTGCTGAAAATACGATACCCAAGGTTTGAGCTCATAAAATTTACGTGGAAACGTTTATGAAGATCATGAATGGTCGAAAAGGTTCGTGAAAAGGTATATGAGTGGGTTGATGGACCTCTTCAATTGACCTAAGGGTTTGTGAAAAGGTATGTGAGTGGGTTGATAGACCTCTTCAACTGACCTAAAGGTTTGTGAAAAGGTACATGAGTGGAATGATGAACCACTTGAACTGACCCAAGGGTTTATGAGAAGATATATGCGAGGGATGATGGACCTCAATTGTAGCTATTAAGCTGTGAAGTAATGCATGTAGAGTAACTTAAGAGGTGCTTTCAGAGCTCGATGGATGACTGAATAGAGAGGATTCTTTTCGTCATTAATGATGGACACGGGCGATCATGAACGAGAGAACAAGGGACTTATCGAAGTTTGAAAGAAATGCTTGTTTGTTATTACCTAAGCATTTGAAGATTGTAACTCATCGTGTCCTAATTAGAAAAACTGAGAAATCGAATCTAAACTCATTTATAAAGAAGTGAAGCTAGAAAAACGGAAGATGGTTATATCCCAGGGAGTAGTGTCACATATCCAAGATTTTGGAGATGCCACTGCATCTCCAGCGGGAGACGCGGCACCCACACTCGGGAGATGAGGTCATTCACCACTGGAGATGTAAGATCTCCTTTAGAGAGACGCATCCCCCACACCCACACTCGCATCTCTCACACGAGATGCGGCATCTCCCGTAAGAGATGTGGTGGCATCTCCAAAATCTTGGATATGTGACACTGCTGGATCCCAGGCAGACAAACTTTTCAGAAAACGCGTTTAAACGCACAGAAATTGGCCTAAAATTCGCAAAAAGTGGACGTTTTTGGCTCACATTCGCGATTCCCGACTGTGAGCCAAAAACATCCATTTTTCGTCCTTTCTGTGTGTTTAAGCGCATTTTCAGACAAGAAACGCGTGCACACGCATATAAAAAAGAGAAAAAGTGATCGTTTTCTAATACTCGAGATGCATGATCATGATTACAGTAATGTTTCTGGAGTTGGGAAAACAAGACAACTTTTTTCTCTTTTTTGTATGCGTGTGCACGCGTTTCTTATCTGAAAACGTGTTTAAGCGCACAAAAAGGGCGAAAAATGGATGTTTTTGGCTCACAGCCGGGAACCGCGAATGTGAGCCAAAAACGCCCACTTTTTGCGGATTTTAGGCCAATTTCTGTGCGTTTAAACACGTTTTCTGACAAGTTTGTCTGCCCGGGATCCATATCTCAAAATTTAGCAAGTCAAAGAAAAATAAAGAATTTATATTGGATTAAACGAAATTTTCTGATTGAATTACTTGGATTAGATACGTCATACATAGAATAATTAAATCGCAAGAAAATTGAGCAACTTGGAAAAAGAACTGCAATTAGTTGCTTGGAACGAATTTATCCAAGAGCTTCCAAATTCATCTACCTCATGAAGAAATCTCGGAGAGTTTCATCAGGAATTCATCGGGACTGCCTGCAGGATCTTCTGTAAGAGTAAAAGATGTTCATGACGATTTCATGAGATATTCTACTTCTTTATGAGCCTAATGAAAAGTCGGGAAACCTCGTAAAATGCTACAATAAAATTATCGTATGGTTTTTCCTTAATGTTATAATGCTCATCTAAACTTTTATAAAATCTGGAACTCTTGGTAGTATCAAAATAGCACTCTGCATAGTCATAACTACTCGAAGATCCTGTCGCTGATCTATTTATCACTATCGTCTATGAAATTGTACAAAACCTTTACTCACTTGAAGTAATATTCTTGGTTGATCATGCTATTGAGTTCGGTGAAAGAGAATGAGCAGATTTCATTTATAAGACCATTTTTATGCTTTGAAGACGTTGTCTACCAAAATCTAAACGAAAAATCAGTAATTAATTAGGAGAGTAGTACTTTCTGATTGAAGACATTACTAACAATGCTAATGTAATACTTGCTTTTACATCGAAAAGTTATCATTAGTCCAATTTATCGAAAGCNATCTAAAACTTGAAAATGTTGCTGAATAGCAACTTCCTTTTCTTCCAATTTTTTTTGTCTTTCTTTTTCAAATTCTGGTGTACAATAATTACAGTTGTCACGATGACGATAATAATTGTTGTACAAACCAGACTTTCCCGAGCCAGTACAGGTCCAAGTTAACATCGAATTGCAACCGATACAATATTTTCGACGATCAGTTCGAACAGATCCACATTCAGCACAATTCCATTCAAGTTGTGGAGAAAACATAATTCAAGCGTACTACGTGTTTGTTATCGATAGAAAATATGTTAAAGAAAACGAAGAACGAAAGAAAGTGAAAAGGATCACAGCTACACTGAAAAAAATCCGTAGATTAAAAAACGAAAAAAGGGTTTATGAAAGTGCAACGTATAGCAAACTCTTTGAAAGGGTTTATTAAGATGTCATAAACCCTTTCATAAACCATAAAAAAGGGGATGAATATGGGGTTTATGAATCGCAAAAGCTCACTCTAAAGGGTTGATGAAAGGGTTGATGAAGTTCATGAACCGTTAAAGGGTTTGCTATACGTTGCACTTTCATAAACCCTTTGAAAGGGTCGATGGGTACGATAAACCTTCTCGTAAGACCATCAAAAACCCGCTGAAAAAGGATTGATGAAAATACGATACCCAAGATTCGAGCTCATAAAATTTACTTGGAAGCGTTTATGAAGATCATGAATGGTCGAAAAGGTTCGTGAAAAGGTATATGAGTGGGTTGATGAACCTCTTCAACTGATCCAAGGGTTTATGAGAAGATATATGCGAGGGATGATGGACCTCAATTGTAGCTATTAAGCTGTGAAGTAATGTATGTAGAGTAACTCAAGAGTTGCTTTCAGAGCTCGATGGATGACTGAATAGAGAGGATTCTTTTCGTCGTTAATGATGGACACGGGCGATCATGAACGAGAGAATATGGAACTTATCGAAGTTTGAAAGAAATGCTTGTTTGTTATTACCTAAGCATTTGAAGATTGTAACTCATCGTGTCCTATTTATGAAATCTGAGAAATCGAATCTAAACTCATTTAGAAAGAACTGAAGCGAGAAAAACGGAAGATGGCTATATCCATATCTCAAAATTTAGGAAGTCAAAGGAAAATAAAGAATTTGTATTGGATTAAACGAAATTTTCTGATTGAATTACTTGGATTAGATACGTCATACATAGAATAATTAAATCGCAAAAAATTGAGCAACTTGGAAAAAGAACTGTAATTAGTTGCTTGGAACGAATTTATCCAAGCGCTTCCAAATCCATCTATCTCATGAAGAAATCTCGGAGAATTTCATTCGGAATTCATCGGGACTGCCTGCAGGATCTTCTGTAAGAGTAAAAGATGTTCATGACGATTTCATGATATATTCTACTTCTTTATGAGCCTAATGAAAAGTCGGGAAACCTCGTAAAATGCTACAATAAAATTATCGTATGGTTTTTCCGTAATGTTATAATGCTCATTTAAACTTTTATAAAATCTGGAACTCTTGGTAGTATCAAAATAGCACTCTGTACAGTCATAACTACTCGAAGCTCCTGTCGCTGATCTATTTATCACTATCGTCTATGAAATTGTACAAAACCTTCACTCACTTGAGGTAATATTCTTGGTTGACCATGCTATTGAGTTCGGTAAAAGAGAATGAGCAGATTTCATTTAAAAGACTATTTTTATGCTTTGAAGACGTTATCTACCAAAATCTAAACGAAAAATCAGTAATTAATTAGGAGAGTAGTACTTTCTGATTGAATACATTACTAACAATGCTACTGTAATACTTGCTTTTACATCGAAAAGTTATCATTAGTCCAATTTATTGAAAGCGCTGCTTGACATGAATCAATCTTCACATGATAAAAATACAATTAAAATTAAAAAAACTAAAGAGCACA